ATTAATAATTAAAAGTAATATCATATATTAACAAAATATTTGAATTTTATTAATCTCGCAAGGAAAATAAAATAAAAGTAGAGATTTCAATGTTATTGGATAAAATCATCTGTTCAAATATTACCAATATCTTCAACTTGTAATATGGATGACATGGAATTATACAAAAGTCGTCAATTTTTTCAGGTTCTTCTGAATAATTAACTGCTGGTGAAGTTCTTGAATTTATGTGAAAAAGATACTTCAAGATACTTCTGACTATTTCCGTGATTATTGGTGTATTGAAAGAAGCATTAAAACGTTAAAATTGGTCAAAATCTACTTAAGGCCCTCTATAAGCTAAGAGCATTTTGCTGGACTTGCAATTATTTTTTTAAATATGAAATATCGTATTTTTATTTTGTATTTATGGCAATGTGACTAAGAATTGTCCCAGCCAGTCAGCAGCACACTACTACCCACCATCTACTATCAAGTACTGACTTTCACTCTTATAACGTGTCCACACCTTAAAGTGGTGTGGGCCATTTTGTAGTATCACACAAATTCGAACTTAGCTCGTCAAATCAAAAATCCAGAGCTCTACCGAGCCCTAGCAAATACAAATGTTTCTACGTTAATTAGGAATTATTGAAGACTTCGAATCTTAAAAAAAAAAAAAATAATTGTTAGGTTTTATTTGTAGTTATGCAATGGAAAGTACAGTTTTGTTTATTATTATATAGTTGCAATTATTTTTGCAATTATATCAATATGTTATTGCTATTATTTTACATGTCTGTAACGAAGATTAATGGCTACAACTATTTTACTTCAAATTGCTGTTGAGGGTTTCGCAAAAGCTAGAAATGACATTGACAGTATCACAAAAATAGTGAAAGATAAAAAGCTGTTTTATTACCACTTTTATCAGAATGATTCTAGAACACACTGTATAAAACATATATTACCATATGTTACTTTTGCGGTAAATGTCAGCCTTCTTATGTGAATTTTAATATATGGATTTTTATCAAACTATTTCTAAGAAACAGAATTATCTTTGACCTTCCTGAAATTAGTCTATACAGGTTTAAAATTAGCCTGTGCAGGTTTAAAATTAGCCTGTGCAGGTATGCAATTTTAATCGTTAGTCTGCTTTAACATTAATACATTCTTGTAGCATACCTTACCTATTACTTTGGATATATCGAACATTAGGAGTCGCTAGGAGTAATAATATACATACATGTTAATTAATACAGATTTTTATTTTATTTCAAGGAACATGAAAAATAACAGTAATGATTAAAATATTTTAAATAACATTAACGAGGCAAAATCACATCTTGTTTTTCAGAATTTGTAATACATACTGGAAGGACTTATACATTTTGGCAATAAAGTTAGAAAAACACTACCTTTAGTTTCCAGATAATAATAAAAACACTTTTTATTTTAGCCAACGTTTCGCTATTGTATCTTCAAATTTTAATCACACATTTTGAGAAACTTTCCACAGACCTGTTATGCGAGCGAAATTCGGTCTCCAAGATCACGTTTAGGTAGGACAAAGGCACAGAAGTCCACCCGAGCTTCTTCGGGGAACTAAGCAGGTATGCGGCCGAAAAGGATTTCTGTCATTAATGTTTCTTCGGCCATTTCTCTGATGAAAACAACCATTGATTTCGCAGTGTTGCTGAAAGTTTGTGAGTATGAGACTTGGAAAAGTCGTTAATTCTAAAAATCTTGATTTTTATTTGAAGATGACGTGTGGCTAACGAACAGATGATAATCAAATTAAAATGTCGAGAGTTCTTTATAAGCGTAAGATGTAGAATTTTTAGCTGAGTGTTTTGCAAGTTTGTAAGCAGGTGAGTCAGTGAAAAATAAATAGGTCTTAATGGCGAACCTCAGTTGTGTATTCATAGGAATTCGTAATTTCGTGACTTTAGGGGATATGAGCTTCAAAGACTGAAATAAGTTTTTCATGTAATTCACCCTGAAGAAATTGTTCGTTAATTTTTATTATTTTTATTTTTGTATACAGTACTTGTACAATCCTTGTAGAGAGAATTCATGGTAGTGTTCATTTAGCAATGTCTCCAATTTCGCATAATAATCTTCTCTATTCATTATAATGGTTCCATTTTTCT